CTTCATGCTTTTGTTCCTAATGCATTATTGATTTTCTACCATGTGCTAGCCATTGACGTTGGCATGGAGGCAATAAAAAAAGTACAACTACAACCATTTAGAAAAACTGTTGACATCATCTAGTAAAGACAGACCCAGACATTCAGCTATTAGATAGTCTAGAGACACTTGTGTACATATGTACCTGGATGCATTATAAAATGTTCATCTTCAGTAGAATGGAGAAAATATTAGGAGTATTTTCAGACCGTGGAACACTACACAGCAATGAAAATGAACAAACGACAGCTAGATGCGGTAATATGGGTGAATCTGAACTGAACATACAGGGTTTATTCTCTGTGACTTAGTAAACAGTCAGTGACTAGATCAGCATGTGTTTAGGAAACTGACTCTGGGCAGTGTGGATTAGAGTCCACGCTGGAGACAAGGATCCCACTGAGAGGCACCTGTGGTCCTGGAAAGAGAAAATTGCTATGCTAACCCCAGGCAGTAGTGGTAGCAGGGGAGAGAATGACATGGACTGCTGAGAGATGTTAGAAGAAAAGTGAATACAATCTGGTGACTGATTAAATGCTTGGGTTGATTAGAAACAGAGCTTACTTCCATGTTGCTGAGGTCTCTAATAGCATGGACTCAGAGGATGACCGTACCTTTAACTGACATAGGAACAGGACTGCGGTTTTGAAGCAGTGGATACTGAGTCTACATGCAGCCAAGCTATATGACCTTGGGCAAGTTATTTATCTTCTCTTTATTGCAGCTTCCTCATGTGTAAAAGAGGGAAAATGTTTTAAGATTAACAATCTCAGGGGTGCCTCAGTCGGTTTAGCATCTGACTTTGGCTCAGGCCATGATCTCATGGTTTGTGGGTTTGAGCCCCACTTCAGGCTCTGTGCTGACAGCCCAGAGCCTGGAGCCTGCTTTGGATTCTGTGTCTCCCTCTCTCTTTGACCCTTCCCCTGCTCACACTCTGTCTGTCTGTCTGTCTCTCTCTCACTCTCAAAAAATAAAACAAACATTAAAAATTTTTTTAAAAAAGATAGTATACCAACCTCAGAAGATAATACAGTGTCTGATACATAATACACCGTTACTATATAGTTTTTGAAGAGTAAAAGTGACGCTGGGTATATAACATCATAAGTGTTATACCTTAGACCTTATCTTTAGATCTAACAGAAATAAAAGATAGATGTAGGAAAACTTGAATCATCTTTATGTCTCTTGAGTGAAACAAACCCTTCAAGCTTGGGGGCCGTAGAAAGTCTTAGGACAAAAGGCACAAAATTGGAGGTTCTGTAGTGTGGGATAGAGCAAGCCAAGGAGGTAACTTAGTGAGATTTTAAGTGAATGGAAAGTTACAGGTACCTTTGCTGAGAATGGTTCTTGGGAGCACAGAGCCTCCTAAAGAATAACTTTTTATTTATATATAAATGATTTTCAGGTCCTTACTATTAGTTTGGGTGATTGCCTAGTAATACATATTATAGAAAATTAGTAAAAAGAACATAACATCTATAATTCTAATGCCCAGAGATTCTTTTCATATTTTAGCTCTGTCCATTCATCCTTCTATCCGTCCATCTTTTCTTCTTTTTCCTTCTCCCTTTTCTCCTTCTTCTCCTTTTCCTTCTTCTGCTTTTTAAAGAGCTGAAATTAATCTGTATATTGTTGTATAACCTGTTGCATTTTGCACAGGAACTTAAAAGAAGGCTTATCTAGCCTGAGGGATTTAGGTTAGCTCTGAGTAGTAGGAAGAAAATGTCTCATGTGCTTTGTCAATGAATTATTGAGGGAAAGTGCAACATTTTCTTCTCTGGCAGTCTTAAAATATACTAGGGTAAACTCTCATTTCAATGATGGTGAGGGCATGGCCCTGCTTTACTGCCCTGTTATTCTTTGATATGTGGGAAAACCATGAGAGTGCTTTTCTGTGCACTTAAATCGCCCAAAAGTAGCAGAAAGAAATATTGGTTAGAATATGATGTAAGCGAGACTTTTATTAATCCCTCACCTACACTTGCCTTGAGGACTGAAGAGTTTATCTCTCCCAAGGGTGTAAGACTGCTTAGCTTCTCATTTTTAAATATTAAAATCACTGTAAAATTCTACTCTGACTAATCTAGAATAAAGACAGGAAAGATTAGTGTCACTAGGATATAGTTTTACATGAACAAATCATTTTAAATAGGCTTAAATCTAAGAGGTGAAGGCTGCTTTGCCTGGACAGACTATTTGCCTAGACTGTCAGATTGGCTAGGGTGTGTGTGTGTGTGTGTGTGTGTGTGTGTGTGTGTATGAGAGAGAGAGAGAGAGAGAAAGAAAGAGACAAACAGAGATAGAGAGAGAGAAAGACAGAGACAGAGAGAGACTGAAATCTGAAGCCCTCTTTTTTTTTTTAATAGTTTATTGTCAAGTTGGTTTCCATATAATACCTAGTGCTCATCCCCACAAGTGCCCTCCTCCATGCCCATCACCCTCCCTTCCCCTCCCCCCCCACACCCATCAGCCCTCAGTTTGTTCTCTGCATTCAAGAGTCTCTCATGGTTTGCCTCTCTCCCCCTCCCCAACTATTTCCCCCTTCTTCTCCCCCACGGTCCTCTGTTAAGTTCCTCCTAATCCTCCTATACATGCAAACATATGGTATTTGTCCTTCTCTGCCTGACTTCTTTCACCCAGCATAACACCCTCAAGGTCCATCCATGGTGCTACACATGGCCAGATTTCATTCTTTCTCATTGACATGTAGTATTCCCTGGTATAGATAAATCACATCTTCTTGATCCATTCCTCCATTGATAGACACTTAGGCTCTTTCCATGATTTGGCTATTGTTGAGAGTGCTGCTATGAACATTGGGGTACATGTGCCCCTATGCATCAGCACTCCTGTATCCCTTGGGTAAATTCCTAGTAGTGCTATTGCTGAGTCATAGGGGAGTTCTATATTATTTTTTTGAGGAGCCTCCACACTGTTTTCCAGAGGGGCTACACCAGTTTACATTCCCACCAACAGTGTAGGAGGGTGCCCATTTCTCCACATCCTGGCCAGCATCTAGAGTACTCTGATTTGCTCATTTTAGCCACTCTGACCAGCATGAGGAGGTATCTCAGTGTGGTTTTGATTTGTATTTCCCTGATGAGGAGGGACGTGGAGCATCGTTTCATGTGTCTGTGGGCCATCTGGATGTCCTCTTTGGAGAGGTGTCTGTTCATGTCTTCTGCCCATTTCTTCACTGGATTGTTTTTTTTTTTTTTTTGTTTTTTGTTTTTTTCTTTTTTTTTTTTGTTTTTTTCCCTTTATCTGATATGTCATTTGCAACTATCTTTTCCCATTCCTTCGGTTGCCTATTAGTTTTATGGATTGTTTCCTTTGCTGTGCAGAAGCTTTTAATCTTGATGAAGTCCCGATAGTTCATTTTTGCTCTTGATTCCCTTGCCTTTGGGGATGTGTCACGTAAGAAATTGCTGTGGTTGAGGTCAAGGAGGTTGTTTCCTGCTTTCTCCTCTAGGGTTTTGATGGTTTCCTGTCTCACGTTCAGGTCCTTTATCCATTTTGAGTTTATTTTTGTGTGTGGTGTGAGAAAGTGATCTAGTTTCATTCTTCTGCATGTTGCTGTCCAGTTCTCCCAGCACCATCTGTTAAAGAGGCTGTCTTTTTTCCATTGGATACTCTTTCTGGCTTTGTCAAAGATTAGTTGGCTGTACATTTTTGGGTCCAAATCTGAGTTCTCTATTCTATTCCATTAGTCTATGTGTCTGTTTTTGTGCCAATACCATACTGTCTTAATGATGAAATCTGAAGGCTTCTTTTTACTGAACGCACATTCTAAATGTAGAGGCTACTGCCACAAGAGAATTAGACAGAAGGTCTAATAAGAGTTAGGATAACTTTGATGTGGTTCTTCTTGACTTTGTACTCACCTACAAACTCTTAACTAGTTCTAGAGTTCTCCCATAGGCAAGTTGGTCCATATATTGGTAAGGTGGAACATTCTTGGGGGAATGAGGGCCTTGAGGTGATTCTGCCATCTTTCTAATGTCACTCTCAAGTGTTATCTGTTTTATGAAATAATTTAGTATTGATAGAACTTAAAATAGCAAAGTGGCACATCTTATCTTGGCCCCCCTCTGCAATCAAGGCTTAAAGAAGTCACCTAGGCTTCTGGCTTTCTAGTCTCTGTCTCTACTGTCTGTCTCTCCCTCTGTAGTCATAGTGGCTAACATTTCATGAATGTTCATTGTGTCCGAGGAACAGTTCATATTCCTGTTGTGTGTATTAACTCACTTCTCAAAAGAGTTGTGAAAGGAAGATACTATGGTTATTCCCATTTTTACACATGAGGAAACTGAGTTAAGACAGTCTTAGTAATCTAACCAAAGTCTTACATCTGATAATTATCTCAGACTCAATTTTAAGAAACCATTTTGGAGCATGAAATGAACATATGTGTTCATAAGAATATATACATATATTTTAATTGGAATTAATTAAGGTTATTTATTGTGGGTCAAGAAGAACAGGTCTCCTGACTATAAGAATTTTATCAGGGGATTATACAGTCTTAGGTATGACTAGACATCCTATATCCTGCAGTAGTTACATGTAGAATAATGAAGCTATATATTTTCTTTTTTCCTTTAGCTTTATTGACATAAAATTGGCATATAACATAGTGTAAGTTTCAGGTATACAACATAATTTTATATATGTATGTAATGTAAAATGATTACCATAATACGCATCCATCACTTCACAATTATTTTTGTGTGTGATGAGAAAATTAAAATTTACTCTTTTAGCAACACGAAACAAATATTCTTTAACTTGAATAAAACAATTGCTTGTATAAACTGTAAATGTCTCTTTAACAGAACTTTTGTTATAACAGGCAGTTGTTGAATTATTAGGGATATTATTTTGTATTGACTGTAAATATCTAAATATAGAATGACATCAGTGATGTGGTTTTTATTTTGTTTTGTTTTGTTTTACAGGACAGAGTTCATTCAGAGAGGCAGAATTTCAATTACAGGGGCTGGCTTTCTCAACTGCATTTTGGAGACTTTTGCCAGCACATTCTTAAGACAGGGAGCCCAGAAGGTAAGCTTGTTTCTGTTTTGAACCAACATGCATTTTAAGAAATCATGAAAATTCCCATTGGGTTATTGAATAAGGCTCCTGAGCAGACATCATGAGAAAAAATACAGTTAATAAACAAACAAAAAATAAACAAATAGATGCAAAAAAATTATCTTTGCTAATTATTGCGTGCATCCAAATCAAAGTAAAACTTAAGTGCCATTTGTGACCCATTAAATTAAAACTATGCCAGTGAAGAATGTGTAATAGAATGGAGAATGAAGAGATATAATCAGAGTGAGTAATTACATTTTCAGCATATTCAGTATGATGACACCCATTTAGTGAAAAAGATAATAGCTAATATTTATTGAGCACTTACTATGCGTGACTTACTATAAAAAGAATTTTTATCATCTCATTTAATACAAACCTTGAAAGTAGCTATTTTTGTTATTCTGATGTTATGGATGAGGAAGATTCAGAGACATGGAGCTCCTAGTTGTCATTTCTTGTGGTTTTTAAATTCTCTGGGAGTTTAGGGTTCCATGAAGGTGACTTAGAGACCACCTTAGAGTCTAAGTTCGGTACCCGTTTTATTTATTTATCTTTAAAGTTTATTTTTAATGTTTTTTATTTATTTCTGAGAGAGAGAGCGTGAGCAGAAGAGGGGCAGAGAGAGAGGGGGATACAGAATCTGAAGCAGGCTCCAGGCTCTGAGCTAGCCATCAGCACAGAGCCCGACGCGGGGCTTGAACCCACAAACCGTGAGATCATGACCTGAGCCACAGTCGGACGCTTAACTGACTGAGCCACCCAGGCGCCCCTCGGTACCCGTTTTAAATAGAACTATTTTAATCTATCTTACATAGACAAATTTATATGTCCTATTTTCTTGCCTTCACAGCATTATTTTCCAAATGTCTTTAGGGTACAGTCTATTCCTTATGCATTATGATACGCTTGTTACAGGTGTTCTAAAGTATTGAGAAATTATTTAATTTTTATTAACTTGTTTTATATATAATATTGTACTTCCTAATTGTGGTTGTTATTGTGATAAGGGGTATAACCACTTACTTCCTGAATTTACTCAGGGTATATGCCCTGCGTATGTTACCTTGCTTTGTTTTGTAGACTAATAGGTTTAATGGCTGGTCTGAAGGAATTGTTAAGGCTCCTGAGATTATCTGGGTAACAAACCTTTGTTCTCACTTTGCAGCTCTAGGTTCCAGAACGAGCCTGGACCATGATGTGTTAGTCTGGGAGGCTGAGGGTGATGAATGAGTTTTTGATACTGTACTGTACTCCATAAACACACTGTCAGGATGAATGGTGTATTGCTGTCTCAGAGGTGCACAGATCCAGACTGGCCCAGCCCATTTAAGCTGGGCTTGAAGTGGATAGCTAGGCTTCTAGAAGGTCTGATGTGACCTCACTCAATCACACACTATGGGAGGTTTTTTCTGCTGTGTGGCAAAGTATGCCTGTGTAAAAACCCACACGTTGTGCAGAATTGCACTCTGAAATTAATGGGGCTGATGACAAAAATAATTTCATTGCCATATCCCTGAGTGAGTATTCTTATACACTCTTTTGATCAAGATTGAGAAAATTTTTCTGTAAAGAACCAGACAGTAAATATGTTAGGCTTTGTGGGCCAAGAAGCAAACTGGAGAGATTATGTTGGTACCTTATAACAAGAGGAAAACAGGTTTCCACAAATTTCTTTTAATTTAAAGAATTAAAGATATAATAATAATTGAATTTTTTGTTATATAGATAATCATCATAATCAGAAAAAATGGGATCCCATTTTGTGGGAGAACATAACATTTAGCTAATTTGCAGTTCAGAGTTAGCGTTCCCTACCATCAAATTGCACATGTTCATTTGTGAAAACCATTTTTATGGATCATACAAACACTAGTGGTGGACTGGATTTGGCCTGTGGGCTATATAGTTTGCCTACCCCTGCTTTAGATAAATAAGTGTTCTTTGATTAGTTCAGGTGGTTCATATTCGACCTGTCCATCAATCTGAATCCTGTGATGACCTTTAACCATGCAGTGGATGTGTATAGTGTGATCCTGTGAGATGCATACAGTGGACATTATTAGTCCCGTTGTATCGATGAGAAATGTCTTGGAAGAGATAAGTGCACCTAATATGTGGGTGGCTGCTTGTCCACCTTTTTCTTACACATATATGTGGAGCGCCTGCTTTGTGCTAGGCGCTGTGGTAAGCATGGGCTAAGTGGATTTGCTCAAGGTCACAAGGCTAACAAAAGGAGGAGTGTGGATTCACATCCCCATGTTTTACAACAGGCCTTACCCCCTTGCCACTTTACTCTGCAAGATGTATTCTGATTAATGGAAGCAGATGGTTTGCCTACTCAGCACCGTGCTGTGTATCAGATGCATTTATGTTGCAGACTTACTTCCTCCGTAGTTAGGAGGGCTCTTTGGTTGCAAGTAATAGAAACTACCTTAGGCTAGCTCATTCATTGTAAGGGTACAAGGGCAGTGAGGCAGGCAGGCTTCAGAATGGTCTTCCCTGGCACTGAGAGTTGCTAGGAACCCAGATAGTAATCCTTCTTCAGCACTTGTCTCTAAGAGTATGCACCTGTTGTATTCTCTTTCTCTGTGTGATGTGGGCCTCTGCAGTCCACATGTACGTGTTGTATCGAGCTTTGGCCAACCAAGGAAATGTCTGCTTATTTCATTCATTTCCAAATCCTTTGGAAGGGACTCAGTTGTCATTCCATAGGTCAAGCATAGCCAGGAGGGTAAAAGACAGGTTTTACAGACAAAATTTGTCCCAGGTCGTGACTGTGTAGATTGGGTGGGGTGTCATGTCCCAGGGAGAAGGGTGGTGGGATGCATAAATACTCCCAAGGGTTTCTGGCACGATCTTTCAGTAGATTGTATGTTTGATGGCAGAGGGGGTGGTTTATGAATCTTAATCCCAACTCCCCTGAACCCATCATAGCTTGGGCAGGGCTCCTACATTCATGTGGAAGTGAGTAGAAAGGAGATAGAATGTCCAGGTATATCTCATTTGGTTTCTGATGCGTATTATCTGGAAATCATCAAGTGGGTTTAAATTTGTTTTAAGTTTATTTACTTTGAGAGAAAGAGAGCTGGGGAGGAGCAGGGAGGGAGGGAGAAAGAGAGAGTGAGAGAGAGAATCCCAAGCAAGGCTCACACTTCCATTGCAGAGCCTGATGCAGGGCTTGAACTCAATAACCATGAGATTATGACCTGAGCTGAAATCTAGATCAGATGCTGAATAAACTGAGCCACCCCAAGTGGCTTTAAAGTTTTAAAGTGAGGAACCCCAGTAATTCCTGCATTTTCTTGCATATGCTCATAAGTAAGAATATATTTTTCCCTGCTAGATTTTTGCTTTTTCTGGCTTTCCTCTTTTTTTTTTTTTTTTTCTTAAAGAGGCTTAGTTTAATGAGCTAGCTTTTCAATTTTAGGAGCCACTCGTGCTAAATGGTCTTTTACCTTTTATCCAAGTGGGGTTGTTTTCCGGTATCAGCCTGACTTCCTGGTAAACCTTCACAGCTGAGCCTGCATAAATGGCTTCTGTGGAAGTTATTGTGAGTGTTTTAGGTGACTTTATTTTCACTTTAGGACTTTATCCTTGAGGCTGTTTAGTGATTATAAAGGTGGGATCTGATCCTTTTTTTTCCTAGAAAAAGCAAAATGAGACACTCACAAATTTAATATCTTTGTGTTTATAAATTAAAAGCTGGCCCGAGATATGGACCCCTGAGGTGAGGCCACTTGTATTTCTGTGCCTCTGGTGGCTTGTGCAAATGCTTTTCTCTCCTCCCTTCACTACTGAGGTGACTTGCAATTCGGGCAATGACTTGCCTTCTGACACAAATGCCAACTTTTCATTTGTCCCTCGGACTTCACTCTTCTCTGAGAATGGAAGTATGTGGGCAGGAAAATGGAGATCGCCCCCTGGTAGCCAGGTTAACAACTGTGCTTTTGAAGTAGAAGCCGTTCTGAACTTAGAGCCCACTAAGCTTGTGGTGTGTGTAAGGTGGCACCGATCAATTTTTCCCCCTGATCCTGTATGCACTTGTCAACAGGATGGGAATGCATTCCCGAAGATAGGTGTGAAAACTATGTTTGAGAGCTTTCAGTAGATTGAAGAACACAGGTCAAATATACGTAAGCTGTTATTTTTGTTTTCAAGAATTAAAAAACAAAACAACCCTATTCACATGCTTCTTTTTCTTCTTATGGATGTATACTTGTTTGTTTTTTCCAGACCCTTATGAACACACAATAGACCTTAAACTCAGAAGTGTAGTTCCACAAACACTTTGAGTATCAACTGTATGCCAGGCATTGGATAAGATGCCAGTGTGCTTGCTTCGGAGCACATATAGTAAAATTGGATAAGATGCCAGAGAAACAGTCAGGAATGAAACAGTTCTTAAGAGTGGAGGCCGTGCTTTATACAGCTTTACTTCACTGATATCTAGCTCTGGGTGGAAAGCTTGACAGGCAATGAATAAACATCTGCCGATGGTGAGAATTATTGAGCCCCACTTGCTGGTCGGTTCTCAGCACTATGATGTGCTGAGAAGGATAGTCATATAACATCTGGTATTTACAAGCACTTACTCAATGCCACGCACTGTGCATGGCACATATTACCTTAATTACTTTTCTAAACAAATCTATGACATAGGAACTCCTATTCCTGTTTTATTCATGGAGAAACTGAGGTTCCAAATGACAAAGCAGTTTTCTCAAGCTCACAGAATGAGTGGGTGGTGAACTTGGGGTTTGAACCCAAACCTCTCTGACTCCAGAGTATACTGTTAATGAATACCACACTGCCACATCCATGAGCTATGCACTCAAGCAGCCACTTGTGTGGGGCCAGATGTGGTGTGCTTGATAGAGCCAGAGCAAGATGTGGGGTTTGCAGTAAGGATGGAGGAATGCAGAAGCACGGAACTCAGTTGCAATGGAAGAACTTGGAATGGACTA